TCCGATAAGGACGCTTTCACCGCTGAGGTCACCAAGGCGGTTGAAAGCATGGGTAAGGTGCAGTCATTGGATCGAAGAGTTACACTCGAGATCCGTGATTTGGATTGCCTTACCCAAGAAGCTGAGGTGCAACAAGTGTTGTCTGAAGCAATGGGTAAGCCAGTAAACAGGAGAGTGACGGTCTTAGGACCCAACCGCCGAGGGATGAAGCTCGCGGTTGTAGTCACCAACCTGGAAGAGGCGAACAGGCTGGAGAAATTGGGACACGTAAAAATTGGTTTTATGTGTTGCCCAATCAAAAGAAGAGTAATGGTCGTCCGGTGTCATCGATGCCTGGGATACGGCCATATTGGAGCCAAATGCCAGAAGGAGGACAGATCGGCTGCGTGCTTTAAGTGCGGTGAGGCCGGTCACAGGTTCTCCAACTGTAAAAACAACTCAAGTTGCTTTTTGTGCAAGGAAAAGATTGGCAATAAGGTGTCAACCACCCATATTGCAGGAAGTGGAGGATGCGGAGTCTTCAGGACGGCCCTTGAGGAGGCGAAGAAGACTCTCGCAAGGACTAAAAGTAAATAAGGAATATTAAAAGGAGCGAATAATTTTTAATTATTTATTTTATTTATTCAAATAGTTTTAAATTTTTAACTAAATACGCAGGATAACCGCAGAGAAAGGCAGAAAGTCGCATTGTCGACAGAGTTGGAGCGCCACCCTCGAAGGCTAAAGTCTTACGACAGTTCCGAGGGAGGGTAAAGGGCTCCAGAAGAAGGGTTACGGGTTTTAGTGGGTCGGGCTGGCAGTAGGTCGCCAGTTTATTAAATTTTCTATTTTATATATTTATTTTTCTTTTTTTTATATTTCCTTTTGTTTTATCACACCAACCCCACATAACCTTAGAGTACGGAGTCCAAGGTATCTGTAGGCAGATTTCCTAAAATTCCCTAAGCAAAAAAAAAAAAAAAAAGGAAGAAGAGAATAACAAGAAGGAAAAAAAACTTGTTTTGAAGCTACACTACCGTCCAAAATTATCAGGACGATTACATTCGACTTTATGAAAAAACATGCCATCACTTTTTCAATCATATCTCGGAAATAAAAGGAGATACAAGAAATAATTAAATACGGTTAGAAAGCTGATTAAATTTTGCGTAAAATAAGCCGTCTTTAAAGTCATTCCGATAATTATTTTTTGAGTTTTAGAGTGAAAAAGAAATAAAAAAAATTATCCAATTTTCTCATTTTTGTCTCTTGACTTCCACTTTTTCAAAAATCTAAAAAAAATTTAGATAAATGTTTTTTAAAAACACAGAAATCTTTGTTAGAATTTTAGCTTTAAAATAAGCCTTCGAAAATTAAAAAAGGTTAATCCGTCTTCGATATATCATTAAAAATGTGAAGCCCTGTTTCGACCGATTGGTGCATTGAAATTCAACAGTGACGACTCGATTCTGGCTTCGCGCGGCAGCGAATGAGAGAAAAGAGGGACGAATTTTTGCTTGAGAATAATAAATAATGATGTTTCACGAGTAATATAAAGAAACTTAAAAGTTCATTGTACCCCCGCAAAAATTCGTTCCTGTTTTCTTTCTCATTCGCTGCCGCGCGAAGCCACAATCGAGTCGTCACAGTTGAATTTCAATGCACCAATCGGTCGAAACACGGATTCACATTTTTAATGATATATCGAAGACGGATTAACCTTTTTTAATTTTCGAAGGCTTATTTTAAAGCTGAAATTTTAACGAAGATTTCTCTGTTTTTAGAAAAATTTTATCTAACTTTTTCTAGATTTTTGAAAAAGTTGAAGTCAAGAGACAAAAATTAGAAAATTTGATAATTTTTTTTATTTCTTTCTCACTCTACAACTTGAAAAATAATTAACGAAATGACTTAAAAACGGCTTATTTTACGCATAATTTAATCAGCTTTCTAACCGTATTAAAGTTTTTTTTGTACCTCCTTTTATTTCCGAGATATGATTGAAAAAGTGATGGCATGTTTTTTCATAGAGTCGAATGTAATCGTCCTGATACTTTTGGACGGTAGTGTACATCATCGTCCATTAACTGATTTTGATTTGTTGAGGTATGCCAAAACTATAAAAATACCTTATTTTTGCGGTGTTTTTATGCGAAATGAACTACCTATTAGTGGTCCTCATTAATATGAATCAGGAATAATCAATCTTGATAATAAGGAAGGTTTAGGAACACATTAGGTAGCATATAAAAAATTTAGAAATGAAACAATGTATTTTGATAGTTTTGGTAACCTTGCTCCTCCAACAGATCTTGTCATTTATGTAGTTGATGGTAGCTTAATAAAATATAATCATGAAAGGTTTTTAAATTATGACACATTTGTGTGTGGGCACTTTTGTCTTAAATTTGTATGTAAACAACTAAATATTAATCCCTTCAGTGTGTAGCTAAAATATAACAAAATGGTCCCAAAATGTGTAAGACCTTCTTGTCAATAAATTTCTATGACACTAGGTACTAAGGGGTTTTTGGGGTCGCTGATTACGATTCCGGTGTTAGTTTTCAAAAATTCAAAATGGAGGATCCAATGTGTCGGACACGATTTTGAAAAATTCATTGGATTTACTTAAAATTCGTTACTCAGGGGTTTTTGTGGTCGATAATTACGAATATGACATTAGTTTTTTAAAATTCAAAATGACGGATCCAAAATAACGGTCACGATTTTGAAAAATTCATTGGATACGCTTAAAATTCGTTATTCGGGGGTTTTTGAGGTCGCTGATTACGAATCTGTTATTAGTTTTTCAAATTTTAAATGGTAAGAATTTTTAAAAGAATTTATCCACTTTTAAAATTTTTCAAAATTTTTGGAGGTTATTTTGTATGAAAAATTATTTTTTTTGAAAATCTTACTTCAGAATCGTGATCAGCGACCCCAAAAACCCCCAAGTAAGAATTGTTAAAAGAATTTATCCACTTTTAAAATTTTTTAAAATTTTTAGCGGCCATTTTGGATGAAAAATTATGTATTTTGAAAATATGACTTTAGAATTGTAATCAGCGACCCCAAAAATCCCCGAGTAAGAATTGTTAAAAGAATTTATCCACTTTTAATATTTTTCAAAAATTTTGGCGGTCATTTTGGATGAAAAATTATGTATTCTGAAAATATGACTTTAGAATCGTAATCAGCGACCCCAAAACCCCCCGAGTAAGCATTTTTAAAAGAATTTATCCACTTTTAAAATTTAACCTATATAAAAGTGTGTAACTATTGTAAGCTTTCAGTATAAAATCTGATAGCAAGATGAGTGATTCATTTACTTTAACGTTAACGGGAAATTCTTCAGTTCTTGAAGCTGAATATTTCCCTCCAATAAAACTAAATTCAAATAAAAGTTATGTACTTGGTCTTGTTGAATTTTTGACTTTTAATTCAATACCTAATATTGATAAAAAAAGAATAAGTTTTACATTGGAAATCAAATAATTCATATTGCAACTGGAAGTTATGAAATTAAAGACATTGAATCTTATATACAAAATTCTGTAGAAATCGGAACTGACATTAGTATAAAACCGAATAATATACTGGAGCTTCACTTATTTTCAGTCTCACTTACACAGTGCAACAGAATTTCACTTTTTTATTATTTCTAGGATCGCATAGGGTGATTTTTATAGGTTTTTGATGCTGAATACGAATCCGTAATCAGAATTGTTCCATCACCCTAGGTTTTCGAGAAATTTGACCTTGAAAATTGAAATAGGACGTTTTTAGGATACTTTTTGGTTTTTTATCAGGGTACAAAAATTTTTTCTAGGGTTTTCATGATATGCGTACGAAAGCTCACATCCTCCTCAACAATCTCCAATTTGAACATTTTAAAAATATCTATTTTTCGATGAGTTATCTTTGTTTTTGTTAAATTATTGTTAAAGAATTTGAAATGATAATCAAAAAAACAATGGTCAATTTATTTTTGATTTTCCTAAGAATATAATAGTTTATTTAATGATTCATTGGTTTCTGCTTGAGATTTAATGGTTTAATATTAATAATATTAATATTATGTTAATATTTCTCACTGTTATCCCATTTGACGTTACGATGCGAACTTCAAACAAGGATATCTCATCGAAAAATAGATATTTTTGAAATGTCAAAATTGGAGATTGTTGAGAAGGATATGAGCTTTCGTACGTATATCATGAAAACACTAGAAAAAATTTTTGTACCCTGATAAAAAACAAAAAAATACCTCAAAAACGGCACACAGTGTGCCTTTTTTTGAAAATCTGTTCAAAACCTAGTATCTCTTGAAGGAATTAACGAAATTTCATGGTTCTGGGACAAAAATAAAGCTTAATAAATGCAGAATACAGGAAAATTATACAAAAACAATGTTAACAAATTTTAAGGTTAAGAAGCAGCGTCAAAAGTCAGAAATTCCGTCAAAAAAATCACAAATCTTAGTCTGTAAGCCATAAAAATAACTCAAATTAGGTAATATTACATATTTTAAAGGTTTTTGGGTCGCTAATTACGAATCAGAAGTCCGATTTTAACAATTCAAAATGGCGCTTCTGTATGACAGCTAAATAAAGCAAAATTTTTTAAATAATTTCATTTGAATGACACTGGGTACATAGGGGTTTTTGGGGTCGCTGATGACGAATCTGATGTCAGATTTCCACCAAGACAATACATAATATACAGCTGCGAATTGTCGACCAGGATGGTGATTTAATAAATTTTAGAGGAGAAACTATAACTATTCGATTGCATATAAAGTCGTTGTAATGGGAATTGTTTATAATCAAAAAGCTGTTGTTGGTGGAAACTGTAAAAGTCAGCAGACATGCAAGAGTCAAACCAGTCTAAAGTCATCTTACAAGGTGTTAACACCACAGAATCGTCTCTTTCTTCAAGAACTAGGTTTGAAAGTACAAGGAAAGAAAAAACGAAAACAAGACAATTAATCTACATAATTTGTGGGTGATTTTGCAACAAAAATGGACGAACTTCTCAATATTCCAGCAGCAGTGAATTTTGATGAGTCTATAGCTCATTATGAAATTCATGCTCATCAACCGTATGCTTCTTCATCTTTTAACAATAGTGATGAAATTCGCATCGCAGTACAACATCAAGACTTGTGCATTTTGCCTAGTAAAAGTTCATTACATATTTTTGGCAGATTAGCTAAAAACGATGGAATTACTCTTACGGAAAACGTGAATTTAAGTAATAATGCTGTATGTTTTTTGTTTGATAAAATTTGGTATGAACTAAATAGAATTGAAATAGATCGATGCAAAAACGTTGGACATACTACAATTATGAAAAATTATGTCTCACAAACTCCTACACAGTTAAATTTTATTGAACATGCTGGGTATTCAAGAATAGCAGCTCGTCGCTTGGGGGCAGCAACATGCCGACTTAACTAAACTAACTGCCGACTTAACTTTTTTAACTAAATGGTGAAAAAGATGCCGTTTCAAAGAGAAAAGTGAAAAACATGCCATTTCACGAAACCTGTGGAAACTATGCCTCGCCGCGAAAGCGCTGATAAACATACCTTCTCCAAACGAACGGTGAAGAACATGCCTTTTCAACCGTTAATATTATATTAAAAAGGCTGAAAAGGCATGTTCTTCACCGTTCGTTTGGAGAAGGTATGTTTCTCAGCGCTTTCGCGGCAAGGCATAGTTTTCACAGGATTTGTGAAATGGCATGTTTTTCACTTTGCTTTTTGAAACGGCATCTTTTTCACCGTTTAGCTGAGTCGGCATGTTGCTGCCCCCAAGCGACGAGCTGATGCAATACTTGTATTGGAAAATGGCTATTTTCATTTCACTATACTACTCAGCATGATTTTTGGTTTTGCCAAAGATTATAAAAAAATCGTCATGAACGCTAAACATGAACTTATTTTAACAAGAGCACGTTCTGACAAGAATGCTATATTTCAAACAGGACAAGGAGGTGATGAAGAATTTAAAATTTTCATCAATAAAATTGAATGGATGGTTCCATACGTTCTACCTGCAGATAATAATAAAATAAAACTATTAAAATTTATTGAAAAGGATCCATTAGTTTCAAACAGCAAGAAAAGATAAACGTAACAAATATGCTTGTCATTTTGATCATTGTAATATTACAAACGTTAAACTCTTTTTAAATTCACAATATTATCCTTATGGAAATTTAAATCTAAATTTTGATCAAAACCAGTTCTCTCTACTTTATGAAATGTTCGCTAATTTTCAATCATCTTATTATGGTAAAGATTCAAAACCTATTTTAACAAAGGATATTTTTAAAAGTCTGTTTCCTCTAATTGTCATTGATTTTTCTAAACAAAATGAGTTTCTAAAACAAGCGTCAGTTGATGTACGTTTAGAATTTGAAGCAGAAATCAACATACCGGCTGAAACTACATCTAGTGATCTGATTATTATTAAAAATTCTTACTTTTTCTTTAAACTGATTCCACAATGCAGATACTTTTAATATAAATAAACATACTTTACGAAATTTTTTACACGTATTTGACGTTTTGTTCTGTTAATCACAGATAAATTCATGCGTTTAAATAGAACGTGAAGTAGGATCTCTCCTTCCGTCGTAATATAGAGATTTTGAAGTCCCGAGATCGTCGTTATAACGAGAATCGAGTGTACTGCCTATTGCTTAAACATCCATGACCGCGTCATACAATATAAACCAATCAGCGGCGTTGTCAAGAAACCGCTGTAGTGGAGATAATGTAGTGGGAGGGTGATTGGGTATAATCGTATAAAAACAGCAGCTTTTAGTCAGAATTTTAGTTTTATTTCATAATGGAGTTCATTGTAGATGTACAAGGTTTCAAAAAACCCAATAACAAATTTGTCTTCAAAGAGTTGGCGATACTTCCTCTACAGTTAGATGCTCAACCACTCGTCTTCTTGTTCGAATCTCCTTGTGCTTGGAATACATTGCCTGGATGCTACAAAAGTGAAAATCGTTGGTTAACGCATAATTACCACGGAATTGATTGGGCAGCTGGAGATGGTCCATATGATGAAGTTCCTTCTCTTCTACACAAGGAATACTACGTGGTGCTAGTGCTATCTATGTTAAAGGTTTAGAAAAAAGACTTGGTTAGAGAAATATTTGTTGAGTGTAGAAAATTTAGAAGATTTTAACTGTCCATCTTTGAACAAACTTATTAACCATTTGTAAACATCATACAATTCACTGTGAAAATTGTGCTGCGAAAAATGTAAAAATCCTTCAAGAATGATTCCTAGAGCCTTCAAACCGATACATAAGTGCTGCTGTAAAAGGAACTGATGAAGTTGATTCTACATTTACTACTTTACAATCATTTTATGAAAATTGTGAAACTTTTTTGTAAAACAAGAATTAAATAATTTAAAAATAAACATGAACAATTTAAAATAATAATACATCTCTCTCATCATTTTAAAAACCTTTTCCTTGAGTTTTTTTTTAAATTTTTTACTATTTCTGAAAATAAAACTTAAAACTAATTCCTGAAAATTAACATGAATAGGGAAGAAAATACTATTAAAACCAATTTATAGATAAATATATATTTTTTATTATTAATGTGAAAATTTCATATTTTGTAAACATCAATATTTAAAAAAATCCACTACAATTTGTGACGCGCTCCCAAGAAAGGTACCTAAGAAGCAAACGAATTATAGGTTGGGTTCGAGTTAGATTTATCTTGATTAAAAGTTAATTTTTAATTATTTGAATTTGAAACCAATATTCATTGAATATTTTGAATATAGTGAAGACTTGAAGACCAACAATTTTTAATTAATAATTGATTCTCTTTCTGTATTTTTACTTACAAAATTTAAAACATAACCTCAAATTTTTTGCTTCTTAGGTACCTTTCTTGGGAGCGCGTCACATTTAATTAAATTTAAATTCCAAAGCGTTGTACGTTCCACCCAAGTACTTCATGTACAACTTGTTTGAACTGGCAGCTTCTTGCACCATCTCCAGGGTATTTGGATCTTCATCAAACAATTTTACAAATCTTGCAGGTAAAAAAGTGATAAATTCATTATCCACTTCTGTCATAATCCTTGATCCGAATCGTGTTTGCACTTTTGTTAGTTTGTTGATCATGTAGCGATCCTTTGGAACCAATTCGGAAAGAGGCTTTGTTGGAAGGGTAGCTTTCATGCGTCACAGAGCATTAACTTTTTTTAAATCCATTTTTTTCTTGTGGTTTACGTAGACAAATCTACACGGGGAAAAGAGAAACGTTGATTTAACAAACTGGGCCTACGTCACGGCAATGACGTTAAATTAACACAGGTCCACCTGTAAAATCAACATACCACAACTATGCTTGAGCAGAAATATGTCTGCTTGCGCATGCGCAGCACGTGTGTAATTATGACTGATCAGAGGTTATGCCCGTATATTAAAATTGACTGATCAGCTGTGTTTATATAGTCGTAAATATTTTGAATGATTGCGGAAAAATCATTTTTGTTTTATAATGGATTTGCCAAGTGATGCTGTAAATGTGAGAAGTCAGGAGGAATTGAAAAGTGAGTGTTTGAGTTCTAATTTCTTGTGATGTATTTAGCTCGCAATTCATGTTGCATTATTATACATTGAAATAGACTCCAAGTTTGGAGTCAAAAAGGTGTTTGATCGTCTGGAGGGAAGAAAAGCGTTAGCTTTGAAAGAAGCAAATCAACTGCAGTGGCGAGACCAATTCGTTGACGCTATAATTCAAGTAGAATTAGAGTCAAGTACAGATTATAGGTAATTATATAGTTACATATTAAACATTTTTTTATTTGACATCATTTTTCTATTTATTGGCAATATAAGTTATTTTTAGTATTTCAAGAATACGTTTTGAGCAAATAAGAGACGAGATTTTAGTGTTAATTCCGAATGAATCCACGTCAGAAACTCTCGAAAACGAATGTGACGGTGGTCTGTGGTACACACCATGCAATGGATTATTAAAATCTCGAGGAAAACTGTATAATAAGTACATAAACGATCGCAGAGACTTAATTAAATGCGGAATTATTACTTTAAATAAAAGTACTAATAGTGAACAAAGCATTTCGAATGGTACGTTTGCATGGTTTACATATATACTTAAACATAACCTAAAACTGAAACGTGAGATTTTTAAATCGGAAAAAATATAATTACGCTATTAATTTCAATAAATTTAATAAAATTAGATTATACAAATTTTAAAAATAATTTTTTTTTAGTTTTTAATAATAAATTTTGAATTTAATAAATTAATTTTTAATTACAATTTCCAACAAAGTATTGAAACTTCATGATATAAATAATAAATTTCTGAATGATTTTAAAAATTTTAATAAAATAATAATAATAAAATAAATTTTAATTAACTTTTGTTTCCAAAAAATCAAAATTGAACAATATGTTCTAGCTGGCATCGAGAAATTGAAATTTTTCAAACACACAGTAGAACCATTTGAAACTGTTTCGGTCAAATGGAAAGTGACATTTTAAATTAGAGAACGAGTTGCAAAGGATTGGACAATTACTGAAAAATTTTGTAATTTCAAGGCTCTTTTTCAGCCTAGAGGTTATTTGCTGGTATGTGTATATTTTGTTTTTTTAAATATTGGTGACAATTATTTTATAATTTTTTTTACAGCTCGAGCCTATTTTGTAAATTTCCCCTATTTTTTCTTTTATCTTTTAATGATGAATTCACATTAAATTGAAAACTTTCATGTTGAAAGTTTCAAATCTTGCAATTTATGATCGATTAAATTTTAAAATAATTGATTTCTTTTAAAAAGTTTTATTAAAATATTTTAAAATAATTGAATTTCTGTGAAAAATTCTAATATTTTTGTAAATAATTGAATTCTTACAAAGAATTTAAAAAAACATTTTTTTAAATAACTGATTTTTTCAAAGAATTTGAATTAAATTTTTAAAAATAATTACATTTTTTGAGCAATTCCTGTAAAACTGTATTAAAAATAATTGAATTGAATAATTGAATAATTCAATTGAATAGTTGCTAAGAATTTTATTATTTATGCGAAAATAATTGAATTATTGCGAAAAAATGCCTAGAGGTTATTTGCTGGTATGTGTATTTTTTGTTTTTTTAAATATTGGTGACAATTATATTTTAATTTTTTTTACAGCTTGAGCAAGATTTTTTTCTAAAACATCCTATTGAACAGGATATTCTCTACAGTAAGTGGCCTACGATTTCTTCAAAAATAATTGCTCTGGCCAATTGTAGAAATAAAGAATTAAAAATTAAAAAATTCTTAAAAGAAAATGATAATCTTTTGAAAACAGGTATGTATTAACAATAAATAGGTATACTAATTTCTTTTACTTATAATGGATGTACCTTGAATTTCTTTTTTGTTTAATTAGACTGTCGAGAAATTGTATCATTGTTTCTTTTACCAATTTTACTTGGACCAAGCACGGCTAAAGTGAAATATAATGGAAAACACTGGAAACCCAAATTAGAGGATTCACAGGAGACGTTTATTAAGGTCGTAAAGGTAATTGTCAATATTATTTTTTCTTATTGTTACGCAAAAAGAGCAGCTATTTTTAAAAAGTTTAAGAAAAATAATTATTAAATCGAAAACTTTAACTGAAATTTTTTTCCAAAAAGTGTATCAATGCATATTCTGAATTTAAATAAAAATCCATTAAATTTAAAAATTGTTAAAAAAAATTTTTAAATACAATAGTAATAAATTAAGTTACTTTATCTTATTAACAATTTTTTAATTTCAGTCTGATGAGGAATTGCAAGACTTTTTGAAAACAAAAATAGAATTCTACAACCAATGTAACAAAATTCTTGGACCACTCGCTTTCATTGTTGGATCTTTGGCCGAAATCTTGGATTGCTACGTCGCCGTAGATAAAACGCTATATAAATAATATATATATATATATATATATAAACCGCCAGATTAGCTCGGTCGGATAGATGCCTGGCTCGGTGGGCGGACCAAGGGTACTTGGTTCGCGCCCATTAGCCTGGGATTTTTCCGGTACGTGAGATAATCTGAGCGGGAGGTTTGACGTCGAAGTA